TGGATGGATGGATGGATGGATGGAAGGATGGTTATGGTATGAAAAAGAATCAAAAAATCAAAAAAAACTATGAATCTTTCCTTTTCTGAAATCGCAAGGAATTCCGAAAAAGGCATTAAGAAAATACTGAATGGAAAGTAAGGAAAAGAGCTCAAATATCCTGAGGGTAATCATTTTCCATAATTTGAGCACGCAAGATTGTTTTAATGTGGTTGATCAAAAAGTAGTTGGGATTTGGGTTATATATCGTGTTTAACCGTATCACGCTACTGTGGCGGTAACCTAAAGGCTACATTAAACTTAATCACAAGCATCTTGACCAAGCAACAAGATGGTCACCTCTAAAGCCTCAATTTATACGTGAAGCTGGGCTAAAATTTCACTGCTTCTTAGAAGAACTCAACTCTTGCCAAAATGCAATTTTTCAAGATCATTTTAATTTAATTTTCCAGGGACAAAAAAGGAGAAATAAATCGGCTAATTTAATAGAGAAGTTAATGGAAAGTGAGACTTGATTATCCGCTGTTTTGACCTGAAAATCAACCCGAAGTTACCCCTTGCAATGAGTCTTTTTACTGTGTGGGAGGGCACTCATTAAAAAGATATATTGCCAATTGTATGGCTCTTCAAATACCCTTCAGTGCTTTTAATATAAGATCAAGGGGAAAAACAGGATGTTTATGGCATTGCACAAGATGGCGCATGCGTATTGCACTCAAATAGACGCGTTTGTTTCCCGCTTAAATGTCAGTGAAAACTTAGGAATGACAGTAGTAAAGATTGAATGCACTTTCTTCTTTTTATCAGCATTTTAATGTCTTTGTGTTAAAAGAGCTCTTTTTGAAGAAAGTAGGGCACATTTTGACAGCGGTTAGTCTTACCTCTCATGACAGCCTTGATGTCTTTCATTGAACCGCCATGTTGGTTGAGTAGAGCAAGAACTCGTTGTTTTATCTGTGAAAAGTCAACGTCAAAATAAGAATTTGCTACACAGGGAGCCCAAGCACAACATTTCTGATCACTCTTTTTCTTCAAACGAATTATTGAAGAGGAATAAAATACAATGGTCTCTGTATTAAGCGGTCACCTTCCGGACTTTGCCTGGTGCCGGTCCGCTTAATAGAGGTGTCCATTGTAAAGAGGTTTGGTTTACAGTAAATATGAAAAGAAGATTTCGGTTGCCATGATCCGAGGTAGTGTCCGTTCAATAAAGGGTCTCCTCTCAATAAGGGATCAAATTAATAGAGGTATCACTGTGCTTGGCGGCCATGTTGGATATCATGAATCCAACATGGCCGCTATGACGTTTCATGGACACTAATAATGAATGAAAATAGTGAAATAGACCTTATTTGTCGTGCCTTGCAATATTTTCCGATTACAGACCACGTGCTATTCTCGAGTGTATCATTTCCTTGTTTAACGGTTGCGCATACACTGAATCTAAATATGGCGATCAATTTGAATAACTAGCGTTCTGCACTAAACTAGAGACTGACTAGCCTCGTGTTCACGTGGAAACATAAAAGCGTTTTCACATGCAAGAGAGGCTAGTCAGTCGCTGGTCAGTGCAGAACAATAGTTATTCAAATTGGTTTTGATATTTCGAGTCTGTGTATAAGAAGGCACATAATTAATATGGATACAACTCAAACAAAGAAGCTTATTCTTTATAAGGGAATTGCGCATGGTCTGAAATGGAAATATAGCACCAATACAATATGAATAATGTCTATTGATGCAAAGTAGTTACTAGTCTTTAGGGAGTTGTTTTTATTTACCGATGGTACACCCGAACAACAAGCTTCCAACATGACGCAGTCAATCAGCTGCAGTGTAAAGAGACCAGCATCCAGTCTCTTGAGGTAAAACATGTCTTCTGTTTCCTCATCTATTTCTTCGCCCTCCTCAACGAGTTTCTTCAACATAATAAAGAAAAATCAATGTTCTACAGATTTCGTATAGGTGAGTTTGTAATCTCGCCTGTAAACAGTGAGCGTGCTGAGCTGTGCCGTGCCGCGATAGGAGCAATTTACATTTCATTGGTTGCGAACATAATGATGTGCAGATCGTGTTCACATGATGAAACTTGTGCGTAACGCTACAAAATTATCCAGTCTACTTCTAAAACGTTGCGCCCTACGGTCGAGAAGCTGGACACAAGAAACAATCCCGTCGCGCGAAACAGTTTCGCAGTGTTTCCAGAGCCTTGAATGTCCCCGTGGAAAGACTTCATTATAAAGTATGATCTATTGTTACCTCTTTTTCTCTTTCTATCTTCTCATCACAGTCATGTACTTTTTTATAATATTTGAAATGAAGTTCCATCAGTCTGTCTATCTTGATGTGATCGCCTTCTACAAATTTCTGCACCAGACGATTTCTTAAATTCCCCGAAAGATTCCTGAATAAGGATGCTAGAATAGATAAAGTGTGCTCTGGAAAGAAAAAGAAAAAGAATGATTCGTTACTTGTTCTCTCTTCTTCCTGCTTCTGTTATCTTTTTTTTTCTTCTTCTTTTTCTTTTTCCTTCTTTGCTTCCTTCTGTCAATGCTTTTTTGTCTGCCTGTTTCTCACTTTTTTCCCCGTTTCATTTTTGCTTCCTTTCTTCCATTTCCTTCCTTCCTTCCTTCCTTCCTCCCTTCCTTCCTTCCTGACTTTAAAGCACTATTTTCCTTGCCTATCTAGAATGCTTCTTTCTTCTGTTTAACTGTAAAAACATTTTCACTACAATGATACCCAGACCTGACCAGGAAGCGCCGAAAACTCTTAATCCTCACCTTCAAACTGTTCTTCTGATACTCCTGTCTTTTTGTTGGATTTGGGAGGCTAAAAAAAAAAGACATACATTCGTTATTTACATGCAAATACTTTGGTCTTCTAACCCATCTATCTCAATCTCAAGGGTAACAAGGTACAAGACCATCATGAGAGCCATGCTATCTATGCCTTTGATTTATAATTCATTTGCCGCTCTACGGACTGTAGTTACAAATGTTTTCCTCGTTAGTTGGTTCGTGGTTACCAATCAAGTTTTTTTTACCTTCATAAAGAGAGGAAACAGACATCTGAGTCCCAAAAACTCAATAAACTTCTGGCAGTTTTCTATTCCTTCCAGGCCTTGCATTGCATAATCCAGAACTTTCAAAGCACTTCTTCTAGACATCTTCTTTTCTCTAATAATTCAAGCAACATCAAGTGAATGATATTTTGGCTATAAGGACAATAGCTTTTAAAACTATTTAGCCCAAAGTTTCAAAGTTTCACACAATAAATGACATTAAATATAAAATCGATAATTTCATGAAGATTTGAATGGAAAGATGCCAGCCAGCCAACACATTCTCTCATTCAAATCCTTATGAACGTTATCCCATTGAGCACATTATCCATGGATGGAATATAGAACTTCTTTGTGAGGTCATAGTCCATCTTCTTACTTATTCTGTATTTTGATTTAGGAAACTCATTAATAATTCATGAAGAAAACACAATAGAAATCATGACCATGAAGGTGATTTTATATCGGATAAAGATTCGTCTTCATTTGCATAAACTTTAACTTGGATTTTCTCTATCMAACTTGGTTCAWTTCGTAAARAAWTCGGTACAMWATGAGAACAWACATCWKRAGTTTTCTAAGCCGTTTAATAAACTCGCAGATCGTGTTTTATCGGGTCTAAAACCACTCGGCTACGCCTCGTGTTTTATACCCGATAAAACACTCCTGCTCGTTTATTAAACAGTACATAAACACTCTGGGAGCTGTAGAGCACTCGCAATTAATCACTGCAATTAAGCAAAAGAAACACTGAGCTATGCCTCATGTTCCTAAGCTTGCTTCTCTCACCCTCATGCCGTACAGCTCCCAGGGTGTTTACAGTGTATCACAGTACAGTAATATGCATACTTATTTTGTCTTCCTTGAATCTAATCCAAAATAAAACACATTCAAATAGATGGTCTGCAACAGTTTGTACAATATTGCTTACACAGCTGTACCTTAGCATAAGTATCATCAACTGAAGTCCTTCTCCTTTCAAGAACAGGTCTTTATTTGGGTTGTACATTAATGCTGAACACAAGCAGTTAAAGAGGTTTTCCATGTACTCTAGTTCATCAGAGGCAGTTGGATCATAACGTTTGTACAACTGAAACATAGAAAGAATATTTTTATTGCTTTTAACCATTTTCACAAATTTTATTTTTYCCCCCATATCATTTGCATAAGCATTACAGTTTTTTGACATCTAGTAGCTTTTATATCTTTGGGTTTTCCATCAATTAATAATTCAATTACTGTACTTATACCTTTGTGAATTTAACTGATTGTAGCAGAATCAAAAGACACACACACACACCACACACACAAGAACATGTTTTTTCTAATGTGCAGAAAATGACTCACTGATAAACTCTGTAGCAAAGTATCAATTCCATTTGATTCTCCCAATAACTGTCTGTTCTCTGATAATAAGATAAAACAAAAAACAAAAAATGAGAGTGAGTGAGAGGGTCCATGAGAGAGATAGAAATGTTGAAGAGGTGGGGAGGGTTGGGGCAGTATAATAATGAGAAATAAAGATGCTAGCTTTTTTCTACGCCCCATTCAGTAATACACCTCTTGCATGTGACATCAAAGCAGCTCAATTTGGAGGACAAAACAAAAGAATTTCAATTTCCTGGGAATTGAAAACCTATTGTTGTCCTCCAAATTGAGCTGCATACCGGTGTGCTGCAAGAGGTCTATAAATATAGCAAACGGGAAGAGTGATGTAAGTGTGAAGAGGAACATGACCCATAGGCAAGTGCTTCTCATACTCTGGACAATGAGTAGTTTTGGAGCAAAGAAAAAACTGTTTTATTTGTTTTATTTATCACATATTCGAAACTAATCTGTTGTGATTTTCAATGCTGTTTTTTTTACATTTCTTTACACATTGCACACATGGATGGCATCAGCGGCAGTGGTTTGTCAACCAATTAACAGCACAGTTCTTGACAAATCAGAGTCTATTTACATACAACATGAAATAACAATCTGTATCTTGCAAGCAAAGTCACCATTTAATAATTCTTCAAACCAGAGAAGGAAAGAGTTCTCAAATTTAAATCAGAAAAGACAGTATAACTTTTACTGTACATGACTCAATTTTTAGAGAAGTACAAAGTAGGAAGCTCTGCTAGGAGGAGAGTAAGACAGTGGAGATTGATCTACAAACCTTCTGTGTTTTGTAATAATATAGATAATATTTCACTGCTGTACAACTTGTTTGCATTAAATGCAGGCTTTTGCTGTTGACAAGAAAGTAAATGTTAAATTATATATTATATATAAGATGATAGACGATGATCATAAAACTCAGCTCTTTCTGATTGTTTGGAGTGAATGCTTTATGAGAACGCATAGCATGTTTGCACAATTTCAATCTAATAAATTCCCTCATGTTTTATCACACCAAGGTATTGCAGGATATCAAGATAATGGTGATAATCATCTAGCCCTGTTTTCATACCACATGCATCACAAGAACCACCATGTGGTTAGTGGTGAGTATATATTATAAATAAGATAGAAAAATAGGAGGGAAATGTACCTTGAGTCTTCTTATGATCCATCCTATCAGCCCTTGCTCCCCAGCTATTTGACATATTGTGTCTCGCAGCTCTGTCATATTTTCGATTATACCTAGGGGGGCAAGTAATACACTAGTTTAGCTTAATAAAGGGTAAAGGTGTGTGAGGGTCATAATTTTTGAGGGTCAAACTGTGAGATAACTCATGGCTAAATGTATTTACACTTGTTAAATAAAGTTTACTGTAGCATAATGTCTCTTGATAACAGTAATGATGAAGAAATAAACAACTAAAAATATTTAGCAGTGACATTGCTAGCTATTATTCTTAACCACTGTCTTTCAAATGGAATTTAGAAGTTGATTTTTGCAGAGGAAGGAAAAACAGAGCACCTGGAGAAACCCTTGAAAAACAGGAGAGAATTGACAAGCAGCTCTACTGACACATACATGTATCTCACTGGGATTGCTGTTGGGTTGCATTGCTGAGAGCTGAGCTCTCATTCCTATGTACATGTATGCCTACTGTGAGTGCTGATAACATGTATAAAACACTTTGGTGAAGGGGTTATGGTGATAAGTAAGATATATTACAGTTGCAACATACTTAATGAGTTGTATACTCCATCACTCTCTTCTTTGACTGTTTCTTCAAGTCTTTCTAGATTCTGAACCAACAGGGCTATCACTTGACCTTCAAGCTTTGGATGAGAAATTTAAAAAGTATTAAGTACTACTGTAAATGTTTCCAGTAACCGGTCAATTCACCCACGGACCAACTCGCCCACGCCAATTCGCCCATGCATAAAATCATTGATCATGCATTTGCCAACTCGCCCATGCAAACTCGCCCACATTTAAAATTACTTTAAGAAATATCTAACCGTATATTTAAGACTAATTTAATGTAGTTTGTGATTTATCAACCTTATTACTTGACATTTACATTTAAATTGTTTTATGAGTTGTTTTGTTTGTTAGCAAGTTAGCATAGGCGAGTCCGTTATGGTGTATAAAAAGTTTGCGTTTTGAAGTCTTGAGCTTAAGTTTAGATATTTCTTAAAGTGATTTTAAAATGTGGGCGAGTTTGCATGGGCGAGTTGGCAAACGCATGATTGATGATTTCATATGTAGGCGAATTGGCGTGGGCGAGTTGGTCCATAGGCGAATTGACTGTAAACCATGTTTCCTTATCCTAGTATAGACCCTTTCTGAGATAGCAAAAAAGGTGTATTCTGGTGTAGATTGGACATCTTTTGTCAATCATACAGTACATGTACCTTACATGGTGCTGTTTGTACCCAAGCTATAACCAAAATGAATCTTGTTCACTGAACTGAGCAAAGGCCTATTAGTTATAAGACGTCAACTAAAATATCTGATGTAAAAAGTTCTTACCAAGGCATCAATTAGTGCTGTTGCTCCTTCTTCACTTTCATTTAATGTATCAACATCTGTCATTTCTTGCAAAAGATCGATAACATTAACTGCTATGTCTGAAGAAGTTATTAAATTGGTAAAGGATAATGACACATCAGAGGCAACAAAATAAGGTAAAGAAATGGGATAAAATGGTTATAGTCTTGGTGCTATTTAGTTTTACTGCGATTCTCAGTCATGCAACCAACTAGACCTTCATCGCGAACAATCAAAAGGGTTTCTATTGTTTCTATGCTAGGACTGGCGTGAATACTCACGTGGACATCATCATTGCCATCATGATTATCACCTAGGCTGAAGCACTCTGACCTATGGTTATATGCTAATTCAAGGTTAAATTAGTTGCCGTGGTATCCAAGATATGATCCTATGACTAGTACCAAAATAACTGACATTCTGTTTAGATTTATCAGGTTCTTACAGGGGGAGAGAGATGTGTCTTGTGTACCATGTATTGAATATCACTGTCACATGATATATATTGTCATTTTAAACTGTTACACTAAGCACATATTCTTTGTGCTATGTTACAGCATTACACACAAGACATACTGCAAGTGATCAAAGGATACCAGTATTTTCATGACTCAGTAGACCCAGCATAGTATTGACTGCATTCAATTCTACTATGTGGTGATATAATTCAGGTGCTGTTGCTATGATATGAAGCTTTTGAATCTCATCATTTAAATCCAGCTCTGACTCCATGAATCTGTTAAGTCAAGAATTTAATATGATAAATAAACAATGGAGTGCTTGAAGGTGAAGCTGTGTGGGGGAAAATGTATTGTTCCTGTCAACATGGCTGTTGTATGAGAAAGGGCAATTATAAACATTCATGCAAAGGAGATATTTTTGCTCCGAYGAAGGACTAGCTTCTGAAACATCACCGTCTTTTCACGGTGTATAATTTATCCTTTTATCATTACTGTTTCATTAGAAACACCGATGCAGCTCACACTAGTTTTTAGCTAGTCATCTCTTCACAAGGAGATAATGGTATTCTCAAGCACAATCATTGGTAAAGTTACATGATCTTACTTTTCAGGGAGGTCTGGGTATTTTATTCTCATTTCCTGGTTCTTGGTGACTCGCTTTTCAAATGACAACAACATTCTTTTTAATGAGCTTACATCTAAAGTTTCAACCTGTAAAAAAAAACACAACAAATTCCATAAAACTTTCACGTAAAATAGTATGAGGTGTCAAATGTAATGGCTGGCTGGAACTTAGGCTAAGACACTGTAGGCCTACAGCTTGTAATGTCCAAATCATTGTTATTATTGGAAATCACCCTTGACATTCAATATATTGTACATGCATGTAGTTTACTTCAGGGGCGATGGAGCCGGGGGGTGGGGCAGGCCACGAAATTTTTTGGGGGGTCCTGGCCCCCCACTAAATATTGGTTGTCAGTCATAGTTTTACGGCGCATGCATCTGCAGTCAAACAAAACAGCAGTCAGCATTAAATATAATATTTCAGTGCCTCCCCTGTACTGCACATGCCAAAGTAATGTACTCTGTTTAGTATGTATGCATAAGTTCCAGCTCTTGAATAAAGTGTTCACCAGAAGCACAACATAAGTTGCCTTTTCCTCTGTCCATATGTAACACAATGCTAAAATTAAAAAAACGTACAGGTAGGGCTAAAATCCAACCTGTCCCTCTCTCTCCATGGCCCTTATGTTAGACTTGAGGCTTAAAGAGACTGTAAGCCAAGCTCTTAATCCACTTACATTGGATTCTTAGATAAAGAATACAATCTCTTGATTTGGGCTATGAATGCATACTGTGTTATATCAAGATAATGGGAAATACATATAGAAATTACTTTTCATTGGGAAATGATCAACCTCCAGTGATCCTCATCTCTGTCAATGACTTAGTTCATTTTTGCCTATATTAACTGACTTCATACCTCAGGCTCATTATCAACCATTTCGAGTATCCTTTCTCTCTCCTCATCTGTCAGCTCTGTTCCCTTTGCCATAAACTGTGCTTCTACTTCAGAAATCTTTTTTTTCCAAGAGATCTGTTCGTCTTCTTCATCCCCTTTCTTTCTTTTTGTCCCTTTATCAGGCTGTAAATAAATGAGAACACAACAGAACAGGCAGACAGACAGACAGACAAATAGGCAAACAGACAGACAGACAGACAAGACAAACAGACAGGCAGACAGACAGGCAGCAAGCTTTAATTCATTATACAGTATAAAAAACATCACTTTAATGCTACAACGTATAAAACAGTTGGTGTTGGAAATATCTCAGGCATCAAGTTAATTAAACGACTCTATGTAGTAGTTAGTCGATCTCTAGATCTCTTGTTTTTCAAGGAATTCCCGTGCTTTTTCCTTTTTCCTTCTAGCCTTAATTATTTGACCATGGGATGTGTATTCAGTGTTTAATACCCTCCTAAAACTAGGATTTCTTTTAAGAACTTCACAACAAGAACACGTGAACACTCGCCTGACAGGTGAACTTTCACACGTCCATAAAATAAATCCCCTGATTCCGATCACTGAATCATATGCACGTGCTACTTACCTGGAAAGATATTAACTCCCCTACATCCATCTTTCTTCAATTATACTACCATAAGATGTAAATAAAACAAAAAATTCCAAACTATTTTTTACAAACTCCAACTTTATTTTGCTTTACTAGGAACCAATCTACCTCGGTCTATTGCGCAGATTAGATTCGCGTGTATTTTATTGCGATTATCAGCTGACTGAAACCCTGTGGACTCATCAGGGGGAAAATATGTGAAAGAATTTGGAAAAAAGACGGGATTTTTACTAAAATGGCAGCTATTTCTAAGACACCCAAGCTTCACAGGCCTCATATTCCACATGGACACGTCCTTGTTAACGAAAAATGGCATGGAAGTGACATTGTTAGAGCGATTCAAGGTTTGTAATTCGACTTTGATGTTTTCGCGCCAAAATTTGAATGAAAGACCGAGGGAACACTTCGAAACTCGAATTTCTTTTTATCGTTAATGTAAAATTAGCTTGTAAGAAAGATTGCTTTTAAAGCTAAATTCGAAATTATATATTTTTCTTCAGGTAAGGATGATTTTTGATTCTTAAACGACCAATTCACAGGAGAAAAAAGACCGGATTCCCAAATTGGGGATGGTTGGGAATTTCCTTGAATTCCCAATTCGAACACCAACGTTGGGATTTATTGTTGGGAATTTCCTTCTAATACCCAATAGAAAAACAAAATTCCCAACAAACTAACATTGGGAATCAGTACCACGTTCCCAATTTCGTTCTCTCTGGGAATTGGATGGGAATTCGTTGGGAATTCAAGGAAATTCCCAACAAATTCCCAATTTTGGATATCCGTTTTTCCCCCCTGTAAAACAGTTGGGGTACTTTTTTCTTCTAAAGAATGCAAAATACTGTATGATAACAGTATGGATATGGGTTATTTAGTTCCAGCTGATACATGTAGTAAGATTATCTATCGGTTCAAGGTTATTATGCACCTATCAATGTAAGTCCCATGGGGGTGGGGGGGATATTCGGGCAAGGGGTGGGGTTTGACAAAAATGCTTTGAAAAATTTCAAATGCCCAAAGGTGGAGAGAAAATTGTCAATCAAATAGCATAAAATGTTCCCACCCAGGGCAAGATTAAGCTTATATTTGAGTGAAAATACAAAGGGGTCAGTAACCTATGCAGAAAAATTGGCAATCATCATGACAACAGATCCCGGGGGGGGGGGACTCTCTTGAAAAGTGGGTAGGGGGACTCGAAGGACCTTTTAGGGTCAAAAATGAGACCTCGTGTACCTTTTAGGGCCTCCGGCTGACTCCCAGCTGACTCCGTACCTTTTAGGGTCAGATTTGTTCGTTTTGAAAAATATCAAACGTCATACAAGAATATAATGGTTGGAAATGTCATTTTAAATGTGGTCGTACCTTTTAGGGTCTGAAATCAGCATCTCAGTTAATTTATGCATACCTTTTAGGGTCATTTCCAAGACTGTCCGTCGAGCTCCCCTACCCACTTTTCAAGAGAGTCCCTCCCCCCCCCCCCCTGGGCAACAGATGCTCAAATAGCAAAGCTTTTGATGTGAATGAAAAGAAACGTAGTCATACTGTATGTTAAGTAGCATTTATGGTTTTCATTTCTTCACTTTCCGGTGTATTCCATGGCTAACACAGTTTTCTTGTTAAACTGCCTTTATTTTGCTTACCACAGGCCTCCCAAAACTCTTAAATCGAATATCCCAACCCACTGGACAGAGTCTCTAAGACTGTCATCAAACTCCCGTCCTACGAGCACATATTTGCTATCAAATCCCCACCACTTGCCCAAATACAGTATCCCCCACCATGGGACTTACATTGATTGGTGCTTTTCTATTGTAGTTGAAGCTTTAAAAACCTACATGAAGCACAGTACCACAGGAAGCCCAATTTTTCATTCTTGTTTTGTGTTTCAGAACAACATGTCAAAGTGTTGTATGATGATAGTATGGGCATGGCAGACTTCTATGCATCTAATGATATAGCCATTGTATACCTGACTGAAGCTGATTTGATAGGTGGTCTAGATTATAAAGCAAAGATTCTCAAGATCTCTAAGGTATGTTTTTTTATGAGTAAATGCAGTTCCAGAAAATATCCTTATTATATCCGCCTCTCTTAGGGTGACTATTAACAGGAGAATAAACCTAGTGATTGGACAATATGTGCTGTGTCCAGAATTGTGGATAAGCAGAATGATTGATAAGTGTCGAAAAGCATTCCACACGTGTGTTATATGTTTTTCCACACATTGATGTTTAGAAAAAAATCTCTTTTTGTAGAAAACTACTCTCATGCCCCGCATTGCAGGTGTTCCTTATTGGTTCATGGTGGTCATGAATTTTGTTATTTTAATCCTTTGGGAATGAAAGCAAACTAAGAATATTGTAGTTTAGATAAATTCCTTACAAAACAGAGAGGAATGTACTGAGTCATTGTCTTCTCTATCCATTACCACTGTGCCCCGTACTACTAAATCTCCTCTTGAATATTTAATAATTATTTGCCAAAGGCGAAGTGACTATCAGGGAATAATAAACAAAATGAAGTTGAGGTTATTATTCCTGATATTCACTGAGCCTGAGGTGAATAATTGTTTAAGTATAAATACACAGGTGATTTTTTCAAAAAAAAAAGAAGAAAAAAAAGAAGATAATAGACACATTTTAAATTAGGTAACAGCAGCAAAGCAGCTGGCCGCCACTTTGGATTATTTCTGGAGGTGATTATCGTGTGATAATATGAGTTTCTTGACCAATCAGCATGCACGATTTTCAATAACCACCTGTGTATTTATTCTTAAATGTAATAACTGTTGTTAAAGATTGATGATGTGTTCACAAGTCATTATGTATTTTAGACAGCACCAAAGGTACTTGTTATATCAGAGAGAACCCCTTTGAGTGAACAGTACTTTACTGGCCTTCAAAAATTTGTGGTAATTGAGAGATCTCTTGTTCTTCTTCCAATGACAAGTAACGTAGAAGCAGCAAAGATTATTGCACAAATGGTATGTGGGAAAGGCTCATAACATATAGCTGTTATTAATCTTGCATTCTCATTTCTCACTTCTATGTCATCATTCCTATCCAAAATATTGGCTATTCTAATGTATATTTTATCGAAGAAAAAAAAAATTGCAGTGTTGTGTGCAGATATAAAGCACCATATATAGCTCATGCTTCTCCCCTCACTTCTCAGATTGTGTTTTACCAATCCCTTCGTGCATTTTTTTCTATTTCTTCAGTATTTGAGTCGAATTTGTATGAGTGGGAAATGTGCAGCTGCTATATGACCTAGAGAAAAAACAAATGTGTAAGGTTGTCACAGGTCATGCATGAAGGTTCAAATTACTATGAAAGGGTGGAGTAAAGGGTACACCTTCAAGTCCTTTATTCATAAGCCCCTTTCTCTGGAGAATTGGGGCAAACATTCCCTACATTATTGAAGGAAAATAAATTACCTTTACCTGCATTTCTAGCCGCACACTTTCTGAAGAGAAGAGGTTCGGTTTCATTTTTTTAGTTCCCATTCTGCTTTTCGGAAAAATACTTCATTAATTTAATTTCCAATTTCTCACATGAATCCTTTTGAAAACATCTTTTCTAAAGGTAGTTTATTTTTGTCATTTTTAATTTTTCAAGGTTAAACTTGAATACAAGCCCCAAGATAACCCATATCGTATCAAACTGAAGCCACAGCCAGTAGACAAGGCATTATTAAACACAGTTCAAGCAATACCTGGCCTTGGGGAAAAGAAAGCACTGGAGCTTCTAAAAAAATTCAAAAGTAAATAAGTGACATGATAAACATGAGTGTGCCTTTTCAGATTTTTTTATTCTTATTTAATTTTCTTAACATTTTTTGGGGATTTCTTAGGTATTGAGGATTTAAGTAAAGCAAAAATTGAGGTATGTCCATTGTGTTGATCTTTCTTACAGCCCGTTTCATGTATCTGCAACCTAATCAACTCCAGATGTCTACCATTTTGGCCTCCAACAATCATTTGCAATAAGCTGAGTGTGTTCAGGTCATGAGCGATAAATACAGTAAAAACCCGCATAAAAGAACACTGTCAGGTTTTGGGGGTTCAGGCTCATTTTGTTCTGACTTATATTATATCAGTGTGTTTTTGCAAAATCAGCCTGAAAATGTTCTCAAGGTGTTCTTAAAATTGTTTAATCATTAAAGCACATTTTAATTAACTAATGGATGGAACTAACCTTAACTGCATTAATCAAGGCAATAATATTACATATATTGATCTACTTAGTACTGTACCCTAGCAGGTTATTCTAATCTAACTGGCAGCCAATTTTGTTATATAAGAACAATTTTTTAAAATTTATAAGAACAATTTTTTATATGAGAACAATTCATTTTTCAGGCTGAATGTGTTCTTATGTACGTGTATATGGTACTTTTTTGACCAAATTTCCGCCTGAGTGTTCTTAATCCACTTGTTCTTTCATGCAGATTTTTACTGTATTCCTGCCACTTGATAACCTATTTCCTAATGGGAAAATGGCTGTTGAGTCTCAGCAATATTCATTGCTTGTGATCGGAATTACAAGGAATGCACTCATCCTGTCCTAAATTTGATTGATGGAAGGCAAAATGACAGACCTCTGGAGTCGGCTAGGTTGCACATAAGGGCTGCAAATCTTGCCTACCAACAACCTACTGATACCCTACTGACAACCTACTGATACCCTACCAACAACCTACTGACACCCTACCAACAACCTATTGACACCCTACCAATAACCTACTGATACCCTAACAACCACCTACTGACACCCTACCAACAACCTACTGATACCCTACCGACAACCTACTGCTACCCTACCAACACCCTACTGATACCCTATGACAACCTACTGATACCCTACAGACAACCTACTGACA